TCAGTCTATCCTCAGTGCAAGCCTAAGAGAATCAGACCATTAGATCTGTGGGCACGTTTGTCCCGAAGGCAGTCCCCAGTCCTTCAGCGTACTGTGGGCCAATGCAAAATAACAGCAACCACACAAATCAGACCGTATATGCAAACTAGAAGCTTTTCAGTGACCCGTCTAATGATGTACCAACTGGTTGGACCTAGTGTAGTCACGAAGAATGCCTACTCTGTCTCCTCCAACAACGATGAGGATTCCTCTGGTACTTAAGATAATCGGCAGCGGATGAGTAAACACTTTGTCAACACGCGCAAATCAAAAGGAAACAAATGGTGAGTATGTACTACATGATCATGGCAATGTTTAAGCCAATTGAAGTGACCTTGAGACGTATAAACTACATATGCTACGGTGTTGGCGTGCATAGTAAGTACGTAGGAAGGTAATGCGTCTTATTTGTACTGCCATATATACAACGAAGCTGTCTATAACCAATCTGACCTACGCTCCTCATGGTTCTACTACTAACATACCAGATCTACCAGGTCAAAAAATGCACTCAACTAGTAACCGCTTATACGTGTAGTCAATGACTACATGGGAGAACACAGATGCATCCGAAATGATAGATTAGTGATCATGACTACTGGGATGAAAGAGATTATGCAACGCCTATCACAAAGCACTGGTTTGGTTAGGATTTGGATAAGCTTTCTTCTTAACGCTGATGTTACAGACGCACAAAGATCACATCCTCACCAGCTTATTACCCACTTGACACTTGATACTGAGGATGGGAAGCTTTTAAGTCAGCTCATTATTTTCGGGATTCATCACACGCCATCCGTATATTCCTTGATATACATTGAAGTGAGCGTCAACAAAGGAAGCAGTATCAAGGAGGGCACCACAAGCAAAGCGAGGCAAGGTCAGTTTTCCACCATGGTGCTCTTACAATATAGCCTTCCGAAGAGTCACAAACAAGCTTATGACTTGGAGGAGTGGTGCTGCGTCCGTGAAACACTCTTCATCGGTGGCGTGAAAGACTACAAAAAGCCAAGGCTACCTATATGGCTCAACTATAAAGGATACGATCTAAGAATGATGAAACTCATTATCCCGTCCAAAATATAGCATGAGCCATGCTCAAGATTTAACAAAAGTTGCACATTGAACGGCTATCAGAAATAGATCTGAAGTGCTTGAAGTCGGGCCACCATTCGCCAAGTGAATCCAAAACCAGCCAGGTCTGAGCTGTCTGTACTTCTGAACTGGGACGCAGTGCAACTTCCCAAACTTACAAAGAAAAATCAGGTGCTTCGCCATTCGCCGCGAGTGGACGGTTAAGTGACTGGTGCTCTGAGCACCAACAGGAACCATTCTCGGTTTAGGTCAAAAATTCATTTAAACTCTCTGGGAACAACAGTGTGTTTAGCCACAGTTCTGGCGTCCGCTGGTTTCAACTGTTTGAATACATACGCTCAAGACCCTCTCAGTAAGTTGGTGTAGCTTCAATGTCATCTAGCCACAATGTCCTTTGACCTCAGAATGAGTAGGGACATGCATGAACGACTTGTTTACCGACGCTGCTACGTCATTAGTCGGCGCGTCACTTCTGCACTGCAATCAACCAACTAATGGAGGAGGTGCAATTCTTTACAACTGTTTTTCCCATACCTGGACCACGTCAGCGACCCAAGCTTTAAGCTGTTGAATAGCTATGATGCTGCTTACACCAAGGGAGTGTGATACATGGTTATGGGTTACTGCATACCGCCCACCAGTGTCCACATTAGGAATGAACTAGACATTATGTCTCGATTTTAAGTACCTACTTGCAAGGTCTTTCAACCCCTTCCTCCCTGTAGTAGTTTCATTCGCCTCGGTATACAAGCTGCGGCCAGTCTCGGTGCGTAATTCAAGGCGGATCTGCGTAAGTTAACCACTGGTTCGCCGTTGCACAGCTGTCACTTGCTCAACGTCTTTTAGGACAGGAAATAAACCAGCCATCTTGGACCTCATGTTCACTAATGAGAAACGCATGGTTGATAGAGTAACAATGAATACTACTCCAGACGGCAACGATCATGCAACATTAGTGTTCCACAACGTGTACTAGGCAGTCTCTTAATAAACTGCCGAAGCATCTCAAGCCGTAGTAAATTACTACGGTCTGTTCCACCACATTGCGGCAGCAAGCTGGTCTTTCCTATCAGACTAGTCTCCTGCGGTGGCCTGTGGGGAAATCGTCATTAAATTCAACAAGCTAGTGACATGGACATCGGAAACGAAAACCCACTGTTCGAAAAACAAGACGTTTCTAAGACGTAGGATTTGATTATCTATGACTTTGAGGGACACCGTTTGGCGCGCCCACATAGCATCTTTGGGCGAAGATAACTAGGATTTCTATATAAAACAAAGAAACCTCTACGTCAAAATCCTCCATGGGGAAACAACACAGAACCAATAGAATGTTGTGATAAGCTTTTACACGAACACCAAGGTAATTTACAGAAGCGTCAATAAACTGCGAATGGTCAAGCTCACGCAAACTTGACATAGGCCTTGCCGTGCAATTTATCTATGCAGCTCCCACTGTCATCAAAGCTTAGTCACAAATCCGTTACCCCGCGACGGATGCATCAAAAGGACTGATGTTCCTGCGCAAGTAAAGTATTCTTGGAGTAGAAGAAATTCTCGCCGTTGCGTTGGAACTGGTGGTCACGAGTTTAACTGAAAGGCTAACCATAATCTTACAACTATATCGTAATGATATACAGTTTCCCACAGCTTGAATGCAAGGAATCGTCCTCCCAAATTATAAAACTGACCAGTGTGCAGAACCAGCTTATTATCGGCTGATAACATTACTTCCGATGATCTCCAATGTCCTGGACTCGATTGTCGCTGAGGCGCTCGTTGAATAAATTAAAATAATCACACTTTCCTCCCCGCGGCAGTAAGGATTTCGCCAGGATCATTCGTGCACCACGATGATACTGATAGTCGGGGCATTCTGGATGGAGCCTGTCGAAGCTGGTATATGGATATATGCATTTATCTGGTTATTTTAAAAGATACTTGACAGTCTGGATTATGGCATGTTAAACGACAGGCTTCAAAATTGTGGAACGGAGCATCCCGTAGTTATTTTGGTGGGCAGAGTTTTCCTTTATCGTGACATGAATGTAAGGCTGTGCAGCCCCCTGTCTGGCTTAATCGAAGTCCAGTATGAGGTGCCTCAAAGCTCCATACTCGGAACACCTTGTCCCTGTCTTTCACAAATGGGCTCTTGTAAGTGAATCTTCAAATTCACTAATTTTGTCCGATGATCTAGCGATATGGCTTTCTGTCACTACAATGTGAGATCACACAACCTTGCAAAGTGAGCCTGACAAAGTTAACACCAAGTTCACCTCCAGAACATAGTCCACTTTGACGTAAGTGAGACCTTCTGAACAAACGCCATGAGGACATTCACCACTGCCAGCTGGGGTAGCAAATTCTGAGGTGCATCTCTCGTTAGATATATTTCGGAGTACTAATGCGAAGATATCCGCTGTTTGAGGTAAACTGAAGAAAGATCAAAGAGAGCAAATCAGCACTTCCGCCTCCTGCATACGGCGTTCGGAAAGTTCGAGGTTGCAATCCTTTCGCAAGGACTTAGAGGGTACATGAAGCCGCGAGTGGAACAGCCTTGGAAGAAGCACCAGCTTACGGTGCTCGAGACCGTACAAGGCAGGGCGACAAAACGCCAAATGTTTGTCCAACCATCTTTGTCAACTCAGGCTGCAAACTCTGAAAGAATACAGCATACGTTATCTGCGCCTACGGGGCGATCTCATTTGGCTGCATCAGATTCTAAAATACCCCAACCACACCTGCCACCATCATTTGAAAATCAGTCGAAACACAGCTGTGTGACACAATCAGTTTAAAGCGCCCACGGTTTACCGCCGGATGGAATAACTACTAAATTATTTCGCCCTCCAAGTGTCACAGACGTGGAACTCCCTTTCACCACACGTATTTAATTCCCCTAACTTAGCAATGCTCAAAAGTATTTGTGGCGACATAATGACACATCACCAGAACCTGATATGGCCCATGACAACCAGATGATGGCATTAGCCAAGAGCAACGAGTGCATTGTATCAGACTGCCCTTGAACTCCAAACAGGAATACCCACCTTTGGCCTGTTGCAAACCTCTTGCTAAGTTGTGTATTTTACGCGTCCTCTTATCGACACTGAGATTTCATGTTGTACATTTCCCTCCGATTATTCCATCGGACTGGTCAAGCGCCTGCTCTAATACTTGCTCCATACCACGGCTCCATTGTTTTGCTACTTAGTAGTCAAAATGTTTAAGCTCATTACATTGGCACGCAAGGGTATCGCATTATTAATTTATGCTTTCTTGTTACAGTACCAATTAATATGTACCGCTTTTCAATCGGTCAGAATAAGTAAAGATCAGAATTTCCAATGGAGGTTCATTCACAACACCATCGTGAAGTGGCAAAAAAGGAGTAAACGAAAAAGTTATTCCAAACTGTGCTGAGATAGAGGCTACTGAATAGTTCAACAGACATATAATCAGATTCCAGTCAACAGAACATATACAATTAAAATTCTCGCTGCAATAATGAGAGAATTGGTTGCAAATTGCTCTTTTTAGTGCTCCTGAGCGATTGCGCGTAAAGCTGATAAGTTTATCTTGTAAACCCAGCATCTGTAACATTACCATCCACTGATTTATATCTACATTTTAGAAAAATTACAATATCGTCAAACTGGAAGTGTGCAATCCAATCAGGCCTAACGATGGGCTACAGTCATTAAGGTGGATTCAAAAGTTTGTGAATTTTTGATCACCAAACATTCCTCAAATGTGATGGCGTTGAATTCTTCCGTAGTTCACAAGAGAAGGAAATTAATTAGTACTCCAGAAAAAAGCTAGAGAGGTGATTTTAATGAGAAGAGAAGTCGGCATCACAAGAGCGATATTATAAAACTGTGTCTGTATTTCGGTTAATGGTCTATGGGGTACATCCCAAATTAATCAGTAACGTCGTCTGAGCTTCAAGAATCTTGGGTCCACCTCCGGTGAAACTTCTTGGTATTGCACGTACTCACTGATTATGTCATTCATGTTTGATTCCGCTTCTGCGAACTCCGTTTCGTCCATACCCTCTCCGGTGTACCAGTGAAGAAATGCCTTTCGACGGAACATGGCGCAAAATTGTTCAGAAATTCGCCTAAACAATGTTTGAATCGAAGTATTGTTTCCAATGAACGTGGCAGACATCTTCAGGCCACGTGGTGGTATGTCGCATACCGCTACTTTCATGTTGTTTGGAATCCATTCAACAAATTGTCCGGAATTCTTTGTCCGCATATTCAGTATTTGTACGTCAACCTCGCTCATAGACATTCGACCACGATATATGACTGCCACGGTTAGATAGCGGCCATGACGAGGATCGCAAGCAGCCATTACATTGTTCGCGTCGAACACCTGAAGCGTAAGTTCTGGAACTGTCAGTGAACGATACGGTCGAGAGCTGCGGCTAGTGAGGGGGGCAAAGCCTGGTATGAAGAAGTGCAAACGTGGAAACGGAATCATGTTGACCGCTAGTTTTCTTAAATCAGCATTTAACTGCCCAGGAAACCGAAAGCAAGTGGTAACTCCAGACATAGTCACGCTGATCAAGTGATTCAAATCACCGTAGGTTGGGCCGGAGAGTCTGAGAGTACGAAAGCAGATATCATATAGTGCCTCGTTGTCGATACAAAACGTTTCGTCTGTGTTTTCTATCAGGTGATGAAGTGCGAGTGTCGCGTTGTAAGGCTCGACCACCGTATCCGAGACCTACAAAGTAAGAAAATAGAGTTGTATCTTAGGATAGGTTGTAGGTCCAGTGTTTAAAGAACTATTAACGCGATTCCACATTCGTCGTGCTCGTTGATGTTATCGGACTAAACTACTGAGACAGATGCGTCTAAATTTGTAATATCCAACGAACAGGAGGGCTTCTTTTCTCTACGTGCTGATCCGGTTCGACTGTGATCTGGTTACTTTGAGGAAGCAAGTTTTCGCAAAGCATCCGTTTTACGTACAACAAACGGTCTAGCTTACACACTTGACAACAAATTGTTCCCCGCAACAGTGTTCTTAAATGACAAGTAATTTGTTTTGCTATGTATCACCAGCGTATACTACAAAACTGCAGTAGTGGTTTTGCTGTCATTCTTGTGGAAATTCACCGAGCATCCGTTGTGCTATTCGTACTCACGCACTAGTGTGTACCATATTATTTCAGATATATATACAATGAATAGTATAAGGTTTCTACTTCAGAAAATGCAGCAGAAGAGTTGCTAATCTTCTTTGAAACACCCTGATCTATTTCTTGTGGCAATTCTATGGTTATTAGAAGATCATGTACTAAAAAGTATGCCATAATAATTTAAAGTTTATCCACCAAGTAGTGCATAAAAGTTACAAACTCCATGGAGTAGCAAACAGGAACTTAATCATAACAGTTGCTGACTCACCTTCGGAGACGGCATCACTGAGAAAGAGACCAGCATTCTGTCTGGATATTCTTCTCGCATTTGCGATAGCAACAGTGTGCCCATTCCAGATCCTGTCCCACCGCCTAAGGAATGAACCAGTTGAAAACCTTGAGGAAGGTCGCATGATTCAGCTTCTCTGCGTGTCACGTCCAGGACAGCATCCACTAACTCAGCGCCCTCGGAATAATGACCTCTAGCCCAGTTGTTTCCGGCTCCACTATCTCCAAATATGAAGTTATCCAATCGAAATATTCTTCCGAAAGGCGCATTTCGAGCGCTGTCTAGCGTTCCTGGTTCGAGATCAACCAGGACGGCGCGCGGTACAAACCTTCCGTATACAGGTTCATCGTAATAAACATTGATTCGCTCCAGTTGCAAGTCCGACTCACCATAGTAGAATCCATTAGGATCAATACCATGCTCGTCAGAGACAACTTCCCAAAACTACAAAAGTAACACATGCATGTATAACAAAGTGGAGCCTTTAAGGAATGAAATGGGCACATTAAGTGAACCCAGTTGGGAGAAAACGCTGTAGATAGTGTGTTGCGTTGGTCACCGACCCTGGTATTTTAATTGCAGCAGTTTCACGGCCAATCATGATGGCATCATTAATGCAAGGTGGTCAAGAGCAATTTGGCGCATGTGAAGGTTAGATACTCTGGACAATGGGCCTATCAAGTAACTAAATCTGTTCCTATGTAAACCTGTGTATTTAACAACGTCCTGTGACTGTCCTATGGAAATCACAGTGTGGGACAAATCCGGACAGGGATGCCGCCAATCCATCATTGGTGCGCTAAATCGGACCACTGTAACTAATCTTGAAAATAGTGTATTGATACAACTTGGGGGCTGTTATGGTCTGATTGATGTAAACATAGTGACACAAGTTTTATTGATTTTTTTGCCCATTATGCAGTGACTTAATGCTATTTCTTCACCAGATGTTCTTTATTGATCTGCTTTCTCTGTTTTATGAGTTAGTAGTTGGTGTTGGCCAATCACATGTTGCTCAAAGATTTCGCGGGGAAGTATGTGCCAACCAAATACCCGCCGTTGCCATTGTATAAATAAATAAATAAATAACTTAATTGTATATTCCCCGGCGATGAGGGAAGCTGTTCCCCAGAAGGAACAGATCAGCTAGCGGTACAACTTTTCCATGACGTTGCATTAATAAGTTTTCAGAAATAAACATGGAAGCAATTTTAAATTAGGTAACTCAAAGTAACCAGCATCGTTCTGCTATGTTTTTCCTGTCATTGAACCAGGATACTTCACAATCACATGTCAGGTGTTTGGGCTGAGAAAAAATGAAAAGAAATGGAAGAGAATGTTGTCCGAAATGTTGTGTGTACGTGTTGCGAAAGTTTATTCAGACACCATCGAAACCGTTTTTGAAAGCGTTATCCAGGGACTGAGATGTCCCGAATATAATCATTACGTTTTGGATAGTTAAATGCTTACTAATCGCAAGCTTACATTTGCAAAGTGCATACCATGTTCTGATATCAATTGGAAGTTTGTTCCAAATCGTTGCGTAGTGGATCAGAAAGAAACGTTCTCTGATTCGCGTAGTAAATTTCGGAATCATGACCTTTTTCTCTTTGTTACGGATTGGACATCTGCTGTTTAAAGACATATGAACATCGCTATCAAGACTGCGAATTTGACGGTTTAAGATTCTGTAAAGAAAACATAGGTTCAGCTTTATTCCCCGAATCCACACCGGGTCAAATCACAGTTTATCACATGGCTCCCTGTATGTCAATTTTGAGGAATATCCACAGAGAATTTTCGGGATGTGTCTCTAGACACCCGAGAGCATACTGGTCAGAATTCCGTAAACTAGACTGGACCATGGAATAGTATACCATACATGGCAATTCATGCGTTTTGTAAAGCCATGTGTGAGATTCCGTGAGGCAAAATTGTGGCAAATGTGTCCGATGATCTTTATGGCCTTCGAAAATTGAAAGTCACAATGTTCAGAAAAGTTAAAATTGACTTAATATAACAGGTTCAAGTCGCGAACTGTCTTGCATTGCGATGTTTGTGCGCCTTGTAGTAATAAACTGTGGTAGTGATTGGCGTTTGTAAGACAAAATATCTCAGTTGTCCAAACCAAATAACATGTGCCACCGTTGACACCAGGAGTCAAGTGCAGATAAGTCATCTTGAATGATACGTACGGCTTCCAGGGTACTTACACTTGGTTATGAGTAGGCAATTTTAATTTCATTAGAAAAAATAAATACAACGCCATATTTTATTCTGGAATATATCGCTAATATATATTCGAAACAGAAGAAGACCAAGAACACTCCCTTGAATCGCTCCGCTGGGGATTACTTTCGGTTTAGATAAATGGTCGCCGATGCGCACCACCTGCTGTCTACCAGGTAGATATGAAGACAGCCAAGAAAACATCGGTTCTACAATGTCTATCGCCTTAAGTTTGTTCGGTAAGTTTCTATGAGGCACTCTATCAAAGATTTTTGCATATCCAGGAAGAGGATTATGACACCGTTTCCGTTGTCTACGGCAGCCGTTGTGTGGTTTAAAATGTCTGTCTGGCATGTTGCGCAAAATCGACCTTGCATGAAGCTCTGTTGCGAATTGCTGATGTGGTTAGTCTTGTTCAAGAATACAAATAGTTCATCTTTCACTATCCTTTCCATCTTTCTACGTACGATGGGTTTGTGATTGACGGGACGAAGGTTTTCAACCTCTTGATCAGCGCCATTTTTTGTCGCTGGATAATGACAGAATTTTTCCATTGAGTAGGGTATACTCCGTTGTTACAAGAGTGTAAAGATGTTGAGCAAAAGCAAAAGGAATTCACTAGCACTGCTTTCCAGTAAACAAGAGGGGATTCCATCAGGGCCTGCGCAATTTGAAGAGCATAAGCTGCAGAGTTGTCTAGTGATTTTTGTCACAGTGAATTCCACTGTGCATAGACTTACATTGATGTGCGGCATGATAAGTGCTGGTGTGTCTGATGATTCACGGACCATGGATTTAGGGAAATAAGCACTGTAAGCTTCACAGAAATCACCTACTGCTTCGTAGCATGTTCCATCAGGCGTGGTGATAAAATTGTAATTGTCGCTGCAACGCGAACCCCGGACACGGACTAGTTTGGCTTGCTAAGCTGGGTTTGCTAGGACCGTTCAGAGCCTTATACTCTCCTAGATAGGGAGTTTTGTTATTTCCATGCCTCTGTTCTTCGACAATCTTGGACTGCTGTAATAATACCGCAAAGTCAGCAGTTAATCTGAATTTCCGCCGAATTTTATGAAGCTTTCGTGCTGCTTTCAATGTCGCGATCGGATTTAGGTTTAGTTTGGTAAGCACATTTTAGTGGTACTGCCGAATCGATGCAGCAGCCAAGTATAGTATAAAACAGGTCCATCGCGTGTTGAGGACATGAAGAGAGAAAGAATTTATTCCGATTCATCGGACCAACCATGTTCATGAAGGAGATCCAATTGACGAAACTGAACAGACGATAATGCATCGTGTTTTGTACATCAGCCACGCGTAGTCTTAGGCGGCATTTGATCACGCGATGATTGCTCCCCGGAAATTCATCAAGAACGTTAACACTATGTGCAGATATACCCAATGGAAAAATGAGATCCAGAGTACTTTCACATCTGGTAGGTTGGGAGACGTATTGCTTCCAGCCAATCATTTGCATACTGGAGATAAGATTTTGGCATTTAAAAGGAGCGGTTCCCATGGGTCATGAAAACAAAGGCAAATTAAAATCACCTCCAATAATCTTATTTATAAATGAAAGGCTAGCAGCGAGTTCAAATGGAAGCGTCAAAAGCTATAGGTTGTCTTGGCTGCAGTTTGCCGAGCTGAATATACATCCATACGCAGCTGCTACTGGTTAACAAATTTCGTAATCCATAGTGATTCCTAGACACCACTCAGCACTGTCTTCTTGAACGTTGTTGCCGCGAGTGATTTTTTCAAATAAAGTAAACAGCCACCACCTTAACGACTAGGCCAGTTTCTCCTAAGATTGTCATTTTCGTATAGCTGGCTCATGGTCTCTTTCCACTTAATAATTTCCCCTGCTTAAGCCAAGTATTCGAAGATCATCGATGCCGCATGTCGTTTTTCCCTAGTCCATTTTTGATTTAATATACTTGCTGATAGTCATTCTGCTGTGCGACATGTATACTTATACTTTCAGTTCTGTCACATTTTAATAATGCGATATTCGGTCGTTTGCGGTCTTTCAGTCTTACATGCGGCTTCAAGCGAAAATGGTTTCCTTACCAACATGGAAGGTAGCTTTCAAAGTCTTGGAGGATATTTTGCACCGGTCGAGAAGTCATGAATTCAGATAGGTTTGGAAACGTGTGTGCCCATGTGCACATACTTACATAGGCTAAACACTGAGAGAGTTGTGCATTCGAATTTCTAATCATGAGAGGTTTATTTCAAGACCACGGACAAACGATTTTGTATACCCGACAATATTTAGAGACTTAGTCGTGGATACGCACGCATTAGACACGGATCACCAGGTCGAATTGGATAATTACTTATTAAAAAGGGTATACGATCAACGCCATAGCAGCTGATTTCCGAGGCGTTTGAAATTAGCAAATCGGACAGCTGTGTGAATGGAATGAAATAGAATAGGATATTACTCTCAGCTATTCATCCTTTACCCCATGGAAAAGGAAGCTTGGTCTCATATATACACAGATCTCTGTCAGGACGCCACGACGTGTTATATAACCAATTGGAACTGAGGTCGCCGACAATTGTTTACCCGTACAGTCGTTTTAAGCTCACGGACGTCAAACACCCGTTTAGCACTGGCGACACGTTCAAACACAAGCAAAGGAGCAGAAAAAGATTTACAAACCCAACCAACACAGCTACAGACGTACACTTGGTTGGCGGCATCCGGTTTCGGATTTGCCTGTCACTGTGGCAAGCCACAGGACGCCTGCGCCTACAGAGGGACCATGGATGGCTTGCGCTGCACCACCCACAGCTCCAACCACACACCCCATATCCAGTGTAAACCCGAACGAATAAGACCGGGAGGCATGTGGACGGGAGCCACGGTTCACCAACGGAGCTGGCCCACACTCCTTCACAGGCAAACACAAGCACGCTGTATTTGGGGAATCAAGCGCACACAAGGCCGTGTGGCTGGACCGTAGTCCGCTCCACACTGAGTGCATGAAACCACTCTTTGCTCCTAACACGGCCGCAAGGACCGTGCACCCCGTCCCCTCCAGCAACGACCAACTGTCTCCTGGAGCCAGTTTGAAGGAGATAGTGCTTAATAGACAGGTAGGCACCTTGTCAACATGCACATCAAGCGCAGCCGCACCAGGGATATCACGCGACAGCCATTCACTTGAAACGACAAGATGAAATAAAATAAATCGAAGAATGCATAC